GGTTTATACAGTCACTCTTCATTTATAAGTTGTCTTAGTTATGTAATTTATATCACACTGAGTCTGTAGACTACCAGCGCAGCGAGACTTATTGCATATAAGCTTCTAAAAGGTCAGTCTCTTGAATCTCATTAGAAAATTTATTTTAGCCAGATAACAGGGTTAGGGCCGGCCAAATAGCTCAGCAGATTAAAGCACCTGCAAGCAGGCACAGGGACTAAGGGTTACATTCCCAGGACCTGCCATGCCAACCTTACCCCCAGGGTGTGCTGAGATGGCCATTGAGACTGGGCGTGGTGGCACGCGCCTGTAATCTCAGCTCTTGGGAGGCTGCAAACAAGAGGATCACTATGAGTCTGATCTAGTAGTAACACCCTGAACACCCTGTGGGCCCTTCCCTAAAATACAAAAAAAAAAAAAAATAAGCGTTGCCATTTATCATTACCAAAGTCTAATGTGTTCAATAGCACTTATTTTTCACGTGTTACTCTTCCTTTCTCTGTGCTAGAGAATCAATAATGCTGCATGACACTTTATTCTTCCCTAAAATAAAATTATCAAATATTCTTGCCGGAAAGTTGAACTCTCATGCATGATTTTTTATTTACCTGTCATTCTACCTCACACACACACACACACACACACACACACACACACACACATATATATATATATATATATATATGGGCACCTTGCCAAATTCCTTGCTAAAATCTCATAAACACATTCTTGCCATCTAAACAAGTAATAGTATGTTAATGTTAGCTAATAATATTGCATTTCTGGTATCAGAAATTAATGTAAATGAAAATAGAACATATCTGTCCAACAGCAGCTGTTCAACCAAAATATCAAATGACTCAAAATTTAATTAATTCAATATTTCTTCAAAGACAGTATTTTACCCCATTGGCCCATTATTTCCTTCCTTGGAATTTCTAAAATGAGTCAACTTACACTAAATTGTACATGAAGTGACTTAAAATGCAGTTTCAGTCTGGAGAAACATTGCAGGAAGTGAAAATTTAAGACTAAAAGACCAAATTGGGGCAAATTTTGACTACACTGCTGTCTAAAATTCAAGTTCTACATAGCAAGTAGGGTTTCACCATTACACGCCTGAGACACATATAAACACACATTTAGGATAATACTGGCAACGTACAATAAACTTCGGCATTGCTAAGCTACATAAATGTTTTCTCAGGTGTTCAGGAAGCAGGTGCACTAACTCAGAAGAAAAATGTGTGTTTCTTAATAGTCAATTAACAATAACGAGATTATTTAACTACAGTAATTTCACAAAATAGCACTGCCATCAAAGCACTTTAAAACAAGCACACTTCTTAAAATTCTGTGGCTTTCAGAAAAAGACAGCAATAGCTTTTGCTGTAAAACAGCTTTTGCTCTGGGCTTGGTAAACCAAAATAATCCCTTCCATTTGGGCTTGTGTAGTAAATGGGCAAGCAAGGGATCCTTGTCACAAGTAACCATTATTTTCCTTTTAGTCTTAGAGGAGTAAACATATGCTCCTATGTTAGCAGCTCTCATTTTATTCGTCAAGCAGTTTACCCTTCAAGCACAGTTCTGGTATTTTGTTCTTACGCTAAACCCTACCTTATGTGATTGAGCCTTTAATTAAGCACTGTACTGTGATGTTTAGAGGGGTAGGTGGAATACAAACATTTATGAATGCTTTAAGGGAAGAGGCCTGTTCTCTGCTAAAGTCAAGGGAGCTTTCCTGCTTTTGAATGTTGGCTATTTACTACTATAGGCTGGCAAGGTCTTTTCTCTTGTCTTCAAACGTGTAACCTCAAGAATGAAGTGAATGGTCTAAGGTTTCTTTCAGGGTTGAAATTTTAGAAATAAAACACACAAAAATTATATTTCTATATTTCTATCAGAGCACCGAATGTTTGCCTCTACTTAAATTCTAGTATAAAACATACAGAATTAAAGTCGGTAAGAGCTTGAGAGATAGCTCAGCGGGCTAAGTGCCTGCCTAGCAAGCACAAGGACCTGAGTTCAATCCCCAGTACCACATGCCATGTTCGCTAAGGAATCCTGGGCATGCCACCATGCCAGTCAACAAAAAGAGGGAGTGGTGGTGCACTCCTGTAATCCCAGTGCTAGGTAAGTTAAGACAGGAGGATCACTGTGAGTCCAAGCTGCATAGCGAGACCCTGTACCAAATAAACAAATAAGTGAAAAGATTAAAAATATCATAAAATAAAGTAGATAAAATATTTTTCTATATCAGATGATTTGTGGTACCAATATATAAAAATTAAAATGGAAGATTTAAAAATTTTAAAGGGGCAAGTTAAAGCATGATTTTGAAAAAGATAGTTCTTCCAAAAGATCAAAGATGCCCTTCTTCCAAGGAAAACCAGGAATTATGCTTCTCTGTATAATGGTAGGAAGAAGAGAAGAGACTTGCATTTCTTGAACCACGTTGGAATGGCTGGCATCAGGATTTTACCACTCAGCAATTTGTCACATAGTTCATTATGTGACACTTTCTAGACATTTCTGTTTCTCCTACCACTACTTTGGGTTATAAGCTGTCAAGTGTAATGGGAAAGATTTTTTAAAGTGTTAAACATCACAAGATTTTAGTGTCATTTTCCCTTAGATGCCATAGTTTTGACTATATGTGGGCTCAGAAGTAAGTACTTAATTCAACTATTGCCTTAGATCTACCTCCTTATATTCACTGCATGTGTGTGCGTGGGCGGGGGGAATATCAGCCAAATGATGTACTTACTTAAAGGATAAAGGACATCTCCTTGGAAAACAGAATCCTTTCTCCATTCCAACATGCTGCAAAACTGGGGTTGGACAGTTGAGAAATGGGAGAATCCTTTTAAATTAATCTGATGGACCATGTGGTGCATTTTAATATAAAGCAATATGGTGATACCCCATATATTTCCAGGGGGTCTAGGTTATTATGATAAAATATAACCAAATGGGAAGATGTGCCTCCAAATACTTCAAATGATGGTGAATAGAAATGATACTATTCACCAGATTAGGAATAGATGCTACTGGTGAGAGAGGGTGACATGACAGTCTTGGCTCCGCTAGAGCTGTTGAAGATGAGAACAATGCATTGATGGAATTTGTTAAGATGCATAGAAATTGGAAGACCTGAGATTTGAACCCATGCCTGCCTGGATTCATAGTCCATCTGCATTAGTCCATGTTCTGTTCCAAATGCATAGACTGGCCAAGTTATGAAGAAAAGATACTTAGTTTGGTTCACAGTTTTAGGGATATAATGTCTAGGGGCCACACCTGGTGATGGCCTTCTTGTTGGCAACCAAGGCTATATGGCAAGTTGAACGCCAGCTTGAACAACTTAGTGGGACTTAGATTCAAAAACAAAACAAACAAAAACAGGTGGCCTCATGTCTTTGCATTTCTTTAGTATAGGTGGCAATAATTTCTCCTTGCTCCTAGCACTAATCTTGAACGAGTGCTGTCGTTGGCCTATATGTGTAATGCTGTGGATGATTTGGCTCTTGAATATCATGTACCTATCTTCAGGCTCTATTAGTTCTGAGATAGTGGGAGAGGTGAAGTGTTCATGGACAATTATGACCCACTGACTCTGAACATTTGTGTTCCACAAAATGCAAAGGATTTTGGTGAGTTGGTGTCACATATAGGACACAAATCTGCCACCATGATGCTCAGAAAACACTTCTCTCTGAGAGCTGACTTCTATGTTTCAGCATAGTGTGTTTTTTATGGTCTAACTTCATTGTCCTGATCCTAGTTCACTCCCAGTTTAAGACAACACTTGAAGCACTCTTCTTCCAGCAGATGCAAGCCCTCTAGGAATTTGATGCTTTTCAGAATTATCTGTGTTTATTACATGAGCACAAAGACACTTTTTCAAAAAAGAGGAGAGATTAGATTTGCTTCAATTTAAATTGTCTAAAGAGTTCCCAGCCATGAATCTATTAATGGCTTTTGCACAACGAAGGGAAATAGAATCACGCATTTTTATTAGTCACCTGAGAAGCCTTTTGGCTTCAGGTTCTTCTTAAGAGCTCAAACATTGTATCTCTTCTTTTAACAACTTTTGTCTTGCCTGATTAGGAAGTTAGTCATTTCCCATTTTGACATCTAAGACAATGCAAAGTTTAAAAAAACCTTGTAAGTTACATTGATAAGTAACAGGATATATCACTTTAAAGACAAAAAGCTCAAAGATTTGTGGTGCCTTCCTTTGTTCTCCTTAATCCTAGTGTACTTTATGAGTGTCAGACATTTTGTAAGTATCTGCACTTTCCATTCAAACAGTCAATGTTGATCACTAATTTTCTAACTTGGTATAAAAACACTGTGAGAGCAGGTTCTGTGGTCTGAGCGCTAGCTTTCCTTCTGTGCTTGGCATTGTCTTTGTCTGTCAGTATTATTCATCCCAAATACTGTCTTTGTCATTTATTTTTAAAATCTATACCCATTGTAAACATAAAGTGTTGCCTAGTTCCAGAAAGAGCAATCAGGCAAAAGGACATTTGAAAAATGTCCTTTCGTTTTCTGGAAATTGTTTAGCCCTTCTTGTTTTAGAAGTTGCCTCTCTCCTGGTCTCAGATGTCCCCTGAGGCAACTTTTCTGTTTATGTTGTCCATTTAAGGTTAACATATTAGGAGTTTTGCTACTGAGAGATTAAAATAAATACATTTGAAGAAACTTTCTCAAAGCTCCTGCGCCGACCCATGCCTTCTTCCTTTACTTCATTGGTTCCCATTCTTTATGGGCTTAGAAAAATACAAAAATGTAATTGTATGACCAGAAGACCAAGAATAAATAAACTTTAACTTGAAGAGAATTATAAATTTTGATGATCTTATTAGACCTTGGTTTAAATAATATTGACAGTGATGTAGCACTAAGTTACTGGTACAACAAAAACCAAAACACACTTTCACAATATTTTAATCCACATGCTAGTGAACAAATTATGCATCATTTTTTTTCTACAGGAAAACTGAAGAGTTTACTAACAAACCCTCCAAGGTCAAAATGAATACAGGTATGCCATCTCTGTTAAACTCTTTAGCTTTGCTCTCTAAAAAAATCATCTTGGCCCTGAATCACTACTTAGCACTTTGCTGATTCTAAATAAGATACTGAGTTTCTGATTTGATGTAGAATCTAGATTTATTAATTTATTTCATTGTCATTGTTCTCTGGTCTGTTTCCATCAAAGAAAGAATAATTTTTTTTCTGTTGCCTACTCTTACTCCCTTTTCCTCTAATCATATTTTGAAATTTTCTCCTATAAATGTTAGGAATTCTATGTATACATTTAATATTTCTTACTGAAATTAAGCTCAAAAGAAAGTTATTCTGATAAAGATATTTAAATTTTCCCACTCTAGAAACTACATTGACAAAGTCAGTGGGTAGAATTCCAAAGCTTCATCAAAAATGAGCTTAATGAATTCATAAGCACAATACACATAAAATCATAAATATTTTCACTTTAGATATATACTAGTATCTCTAAATAGCTTAATATCAGTGCCTCCAAAATCTGTACTGTATACATTTTAATTGTAAAACTGTTGCTGATAATGCTACATTCATATAAAATATAAATGTTTCCATATTATAAATATTTCAGTTCATAATGTCTCCATCACCCTCTACCCTCTCAAATTGTATGTATGATATCCTTATATATAATAATCCAGGAAAACAACTTTGTTGTTGAAATTTTGCCACTTTTGTTTTTACACTTGTTTTTCCTATTTACAAGTGATTGCTGGAGAGTCATCTTAGTCCATCACTCAAGCCAAAAAAAAAGAGCATGGGCCAAGACACTCTTTCACACAAACTCATTGTCTCTTTGCTGCCTCTTATTAGCCAAGTGCCTAGAAAAAGGATTAACAGCTCACTGGTGAAAGCACTGTCAGCACAAACGCAAGCCATGTCCATCTTTCTACGGCAGCACTGTTAGCAGAAACCCCTCAAAATGGCCTCAGAGAATGTCCTGTCCACTGCCTTCTGAGGATGTGGCAGCAGGCCAGGCGAGGGCATTGGTGACATACAAGGGAGGCTGATGTGGCAAGAGAAATGAAGCTCCTAGAGCTGCAAATAAGTCAGAGCTAGACATGGAAAATGAAGTAAACAGAGTTAGGCAAAGGAAATAGAAGAAAATAAATAGAATACAAAGCTCACCGCTGGACTTGGATAAGTCATGCGGCAAAACTGCAAAGGCAATCCAGTAGAACATTTACATGAAGGAGTGACATTTACTGATTGCTCGAGCATCATGAAGGTTTAAATTGAGCAGAACTTCTCAATACCACTCGTTTTGTTAATTTTCTTATTTATTATACCCATTATGACATGTACACATATGTCTGTATGGTTATACAAAACACAATGTATTCATGTGTGTTATATTGAATAACTGGCCTTCCTGTTCATATAATTCAATCACAAATAACAAAATAAGCATAAAAATATAAGTATTTTTAGATCTATGGACTGCCTAACAACATGAATGTAACCTTCCAAAACATACTTTCATTTATAAGAAATGTCTTTGGCTGATGAAATGCTAATTTTTATAGGATTGTTTTGCCTCTGTGGCTGAATTTACATATATATGTGAGATATATTCAAGTATATGCAAAAAACTGATTAGAAATCACTGAGACCTTTTGTTTAAAATTTCAAAGTAATATTATAATGTTGTTATGCAAACATAGCTCTTGAAACACACAGGCAGTAAATATAGATACTACTTTAGGAAATAAAAGTGTTATCGCCGTGTTTACAAAATGAAGTAGGAATTAGTTCCTAAGTAACTAATTAATAAAATTGTCCTTCAGGGACTACCTCTCAATCACTAAAATGTTATATTACTACTTTGAATTTCCATTTGTCAGTCACCAAGCTTTTTTAAAAAATTATTTTAATTTTTATCTTTGCTTTTAATCCACTATGTAACAAACTAGTCAGGGATAGTATAATGTACAAACATGTAGATCTCCTGGATCTTGCTGCCCATTATTTACTAAGGCATAAGCTGTAGTTATGGAAGGAAGGGAAAAGGTCATCCAATAATTCAGTGAATATGATTTACCAGTGAGTGTTTTCTAGCAGAGAAAACCATGTCTAGGGGGCTTAAAGGTAAGTAAAGCAGTAATCTCAAGGACCGCAGGTCATGAATGAATACAAAGATGAACCCACCACTCGTGTTCTTGACCGATTGAGTGTGAAGTGCACCAAAGAGATTAATCGCCACATAAATGGAAGCAGAATTTAATATATTCTCTGTTTCTCCAATTTTACAAGCAACAACTTTTTAAAATAATCTCTTTAGTAAATTTGAATAGATACATATGTGTTTCCTTGATCTAGGTCTTGGAACTGCCCAAAAGACACAAATTGTTTAGCCCAAACATTCCCAAACTTTCGTGGTTTATAGTGACAAATATCTCAGCGATTTTTTTCACAAAGTGTCTAAGTCCAATGCAATACCTAGCAATTTTATTTACAAACAACTTAATCACTTAATTGTTACTTAGGGATTTTAACCAATGATGCTGGATCCACATGTTATGAACTTTTCTATTTTTAATCTCTGTTTTCAGAGTCTCATTGCTATTTGTTTCTCAATAAAACTATGGAAAAAAAATAAATTTTAAATTTAAAAAACAGGATTAAAAATAATAAGAAAATAAAATCACTGTTAGAGTGATATAGTTTTCAATATCCTTGAACATCCAATTCTTTGAAACCAGTCAGTAGCTACTAGATACTCTACATTCAAAAACATTATCTCCGTCGTAGTGGACACATTTACTTCCGATAGACATTTTTGGCTTCTCAAGTTTGTTAAAATGCTTCTGATGCCTCTGAAAGGTATCTCCAATGGAAGTTTCTTCCATTTGTATCTTTATCTTTTAATTTCCTCGTATAGATTTTGATCCATTTGGCTTATTTTCATTTAATGTTTCTGTGAGTCATGTTCTTGTTGTATTATTTTGCATATTAAAAAGTTGTAATATGAAGACATTTTATAAGAATAATTTCACCACTTTGAGGACATTTAAATAGTGACTTTTAGAAGCAATCAAATCCTACTTCCATATATCTTTGCTAATCAAAATTCTCCTGTGGTTAATAAGCAAGCTAGATATTTTCCCTGAGAAATAAAGAAAAAAGAGAAATAATGCATGTCAATATGTGATAATTCTGTTGTCTATTGGTGATTACGTTATTTATCATTTGTCATAACCTTTAAAAAGCAAATAAAGTTGCTCTGGCTTAATGAGCAAAGTGATAGGAATGAGGAAAACTATTTATTGCACATTCCATATTACAAGGGAATGTGCAATGGAATGAATCTCCCCATAGACTTTAACCTTTCAATTTTGAGACTTCTCCCCCAAATTTAGAAGTCTAAACTTCTCATAGCACATAAAATAGCAAATGTATCTCCAAATTTTTTGCTTCATCTTGTGCTTAAATGTAAATAAAATATAGGTCATGGTACACATGTTGTTCAAACATAGAAAAAGCAACAAATCACTTCCAAAAGATACTTTAGTGCTGTCTCTGATTTCAAGTAGGTTAATTTTTATAGCTATTGAAAGACATGTAATTTTCATAATTCCATGTTTCTTTATAAATTATATGCTCTCAAATGTATCATGCCTCTGTCAATAACATTTTTTAGGTCCTGAAGATTGAATCCAAGCCCTCATGTACACTAGGCAAGTGCTTTACCACAATAACTTTTATTTCAAGAATTATTCAAGCTAGCTTCAGGAATGATAATAACTAGAATATAATACAACCTAAATGAGTGATTATTATACTATGGCTTTTAACCCAGGAAGACACAGAATTCAAAAGCCAGCTAAAGTGCTTATAGATTTAGTATGTGTTGAATTTAAATGACATAAAATTTATTTCTGTGCCTGCATTTTCTTTTTCATTTTTTTAATTTGAGAGCCTGGAACAGTGGTACATACCTGTGATCCCAGAATTGAGGAGTTTGAGGCAGGAGGGTCATAAATTCAAGGTCAGCCTGAGCAGTATAACAAGTTTAACCCTAGGCTGTACTACTTGGCAAGACCCTGACTCAAAAACAACAAAAATACTCAATGTAAAATATAAAAGATCTTGTCTTTTTTCTGAACCATTGACATCTGTTTCTGAAACAGACCCCTGCTTCATTTTGTCTGTTTTAGTTTGGGGATGGAAGTGAACTTTGTAGATGTACTCCATGGTCACTAATGCTGACTGTTCATCTTTCTCGTGAATGTCTGGCATATTACACTTAAAACGCATGGTATTGCATGTGCTTTCTCTGTGGCCTTGGCCTCTGCTATATCATTTTTTTGCTTCCAGATAGCGGTGGGTGTGCTCGCAAACGTGCTGCCATGTCTGTTACGTTAACATCTGTGAAGAGAGTTCAAAGTTCTCCAAACCTATTGGCTGCAGGTATAATATCACTAACTCACAGCATATCACACTTGAATGGCTTTACCTGACCTCTGTCTCTTTCCAGAATTATCTTCTTTGGATGAGCATAGTGGCTGTAAATAGGCTTCGATAAGTTATTTTTTTCTTGTCCCCAAAATAGCCTCTGTCTTTTCTATTTTTGTTCTAGAAATAAAAAGCCAAAGAAAACTGGTGTCTACTAGAAAATATTTAAAAATTAATTAGAAACTACAGTCATTTGCCAAAAATATGCTGAGTAACCATAAATGTTAATAACTATTCAAGTTTCTGTTATCTGATGGAATAAAGTAACATGATAATTCATTAGATAACTCACGTGTTCCTTTGGGGACCCAAAGGGTCAAGAAGAGAGAATTGCTGGAAAATGAATCCTAATTAAGCTGCTTCTTCACCAAAATTATAAAAAAATAGTAAAATATTGTTTTGAAAAAACATGTTTGCTGTGGTCCAATAAGCAAAAATCCTTCTAATAGACCAAATTCTTGACCACTCAAAATTAATTTGAAGTCACAGATAAAAATATGTCCTAGAAAACAATAGGAGGGGTGACACTTCCATATCCACAACAGTGGGTCTCTTTATAATAAATTTCTGTCATGACATAAACAAGCCTGCAACCCAGTATGCATTAGGAGAAGGCTAAAGCTAGGCAAGCCTAGCAAAACCCGTGCCCAGACCACGAAGGATGTTGAAACCTTTTGAAGGCTGGTTTTTCTGTTTGGTTGGTTGGCTCCTTTCATTGTTCTCTTGTTAATTGCAGCTTTGAGGTTACCTTGGTTTTACTTGTAAAGTTAATTTGTTTTGGAACAGAAATGGGAAAATATTTAAAGAGTCTTTAATTTTAATTTTTATATTCCTATTAGACTTTTGAACACATACATTTAGCAATTGATTAAATATTGAAGTTGTCCTGGGCTTTAAATCCACTTGATTCTAAACTACCTAACTTTGTTGAGGAAAAGGTATACTTCATTTGCAGAATTCTGTTTCCGTCTACCCCCTGTAATCCACAAATGTATTTCTGTATCCAACCTGAAATATCAGGCCAGAAAGTTCCCCAGTATATAAAGTTTAAAAAGTGCAAGTTTTATTGCAATGCTTGTAGTATGATATCCTTTTGTTTAAAAAAAAACCTCACTGGATGTACTTGTATATATTTGTACACATGTATATGAACAGAGATAGTTTTAAACTTCAGATTTATTTATACTGGGTACATAGGGAAACTAGAATTAAGAAAATAAAACCCAAGGATATAGTGTAATTGGGTACCTATATATGAATGCCATTGACTTTCCAATCGAATAAAATGCAATGCATGGATGACTGATGTATTGGTAAGGAATGACACCAGGCTTCCACAACACTAATTTGTTAACTGATAGTCTCTTGAAACGAGCAGTTAATGCTTATTATTTTTCTGTCTTCTTTTTAATTTTTATAACTTTTTGACCAATTTTGCATGCCTATATCTGGCAATCTGAACAACTAAATTGAAGACAGCAATATGCAATATAACAACCATTGTTGAATGACTATTATTTTGTTCAGTGAAATTCTGTATCATTTCTAATGATTTTTTACTATTTTTATTCTCTTTCAATAATAAAAAAATGAAAAATTAAGTTAAAAAATAACTATCAAAAAATAGTATTAGACTGAACTCAAGATTGTCACTTTTGGAAAGTCAAAATAAGAACATAAGAAATTCCATATCATTCACTTATTATAAAAGATGTAATGCTTCAGAGAACCAAAAAGTAGAAAAACTTAAATACTTCAAAATATGAAATAATCTTCAGTAGCAACAGTATTTAATGACTCTGATATATTTTAATTTTAATTTTTTAGGAGTAAGAGTTTTATAGAGTAAAGTTTCCTGAATTTTGAAGTCATTTTTGAAAGCAGACACTTTAGATCAACTAGACCATGAGGTCTTTTTCAAAGAAATTTTAATTTCATTTTGAAGAAAGAAATCAGTTTCTTTGAAGCCTAATCTTATTCTGAAGTAGATTTCATGGCAACTCACTTGACAATGTCTTTCTGAGAATAAAAAGGAAATTAATAAATACTAATGGGTTCAACATTGTGGAAATCCAACAGCCCTTAGTTAAAAGTTACACTACTTCCACAAGATCCCAAGCCTCCCTCCTCTCACAAACTACAAGGTCTAGGAGTCATCAACACTCTGACCCTGTTTCAGTCTGTCTTCTTTCTTCCTTTTCCAACGTATAAGTCTCCCCTGGAGAATTCATCATAGCTCACATTGATGTTTTAAACTGATGCTAGAACCACAAGAATGGCCACAGAAAAACAATCAAGTATGTTTCATTTCAGCAAACATGCTTGAAAGTCTGAGATATTTGTACCTTCCTTAAGAAATAAATGTAATTTATCATTTTCCTGCCTTTCTGAGAACTTCATTTCCCAGATTCAAAAGGATTTGTCAAAATTAAATGAGAAGAGTAAATAAATAAAATTAATGGAAAGGCTTCTCATGCTACTTAGAAACACAGTAGGTACTCAATTAGTTGATTTGAATGTAATTAATGTATTTAAAACAAACTCGGAGGGCACTTGAGCCCTCTAGAGAAGTGAGATGAAAATTTCAAATAATCATTCCAAGAAATATGCAAGCAATGGGACCAGCAAGATAGCTCAGTGGTCTAAAGCGCCTGCTTAGGCAAGCTTAGGCAGGCTCAGGGACCAGTTTGATCCTCAGCACCACGATCTGTGCCAGTCCCACCCTCAGAGCACGCTAAGGAATAAAGAAAGAAAGAAAGAAAGAAGGAAGGAAGGTAGGAAGGAAGGAAGGAAGGAAGGAAGGAAGGAAGGACGGACGGACGGACGGACAGACAGACAGACAGAGACAGAGAGAGAGAAGAAAGATGAAAGTAGTAATGTCAATATACGGTATCAGTTAAAATGAATGTAAATAAAATCTAAGTGTAGAGATTATGATGTAACAGTTGGGTGTCCCCAATATCACCTCAAAAGAACCATAATGTTAGAATCATAAATCTGGGAAGGATTTCTGAAAGCATACAGTCCCACACCTAACTCCATACCAGGAATGTCCTGAACAATAGGGTGTGCTCCTTCTACTACCAATGAAGAACATTAACGGTTTCCAACTCTCACTAGATTCCTCAGATGCAAAATGGAGAAATGATTAACCTATCACATTTTTTCACTCTTAAATTTTCAGATAAAGAACAACACCTACTAAACACTAGGAATTAAGGACTCTGATCATTAGAATATTGGCTGTTTCTTTCCTGAGTAAAGGATAAATAATGTTCAAGATATGGGGCAAAACTATTTTTCCCCTGCATCTCCCAAACCATTTACCACTCAACTTTTAATTTTTTGTAACTATATTCTCTTTACTTGATATATAGACTTGGCCACTTTCTGTTACCTTCTTCAAATCACCAATGCCCTCCTTTCCTCAAACCTCCCTTGCCAAGACAAAATAAAAATAGGGCAATCATGAATGGTATTTGTGTGGGAAGTGTTTATATTCTAGTATTTTTGAAGACTATAATAAAATAGCAAATTGCAGGTGAGCATTGCAAGAACTCTGTTTACAACTGGATTTATTTTAAAGGAATTTAAACGTGCACTTCAACATTATAAAGAACCCATCACTTTAAAGACAAATTACCACCATGAGCATCATTGAAGTATTGCTTCATCCTGAAGTTTTATTCCATGGCCAGTTTTTCTCTTTTCTTCTTTCTCTCTTTTAACAATCTTGCCCACCCTGTTAGGAAGGGCTGCTGAGGGAAGCTCAGCATAATTACTATCCCATGTTTCCTGTAGCATACCTCAACCCGCCGCTGGGTTTAGAGCGGCTGTCCTGGGTCTATCACCACAGTCCCCAGTGTGGTCAACAATGTGAAGAAACAGCTGGCCCTCCACAGACCACCACTGGAACAGGTTTATCCCAACTGTCCTTCAGTCCTGTTCATTAGACTTTCTTCCTAGTGACATCCACACCCTCCCTGCTTCAGACATTTCGGCTCTGTTTCCTCTATGCCCAGCACACACCTTTTTTTAAAATCTCAAACTTTACAAATCAAAAGTAAAATAAGTTCTCTATTCCCAAACATATAATATGGGTTATAATTATTAATAATGCTGTTTCTCATTTTTTGCCCTTTGCCTGAGCCCCGAAATCGGTTCTTGGTCCAGTGTGTGGGACTCTAGTAGTTAATAATGCTCTCTCCCTGAGATAGCCTGAAGTAGAATTCTAAAGATTGCTCTATAAGGCTCAGCTATGTTTGTTTACTTTGTAGAGTTTTCATCATCATTTAGATTAAGTAAATGATGCCTTTCAATCAGTTCAGCCTCCATCAAATCCTACAAGTGGGGTTCAGTACACATTTCACATATACTTCTTCAGTTATTTGTACCATGTGTACCCATTTTATTACTCCAATTTTCATTTGAGATAAATTATCAAATATCATACAGAATGAAAATTTATTAATCTTATCTAAGTCATATGATATCGAGTTGTTTTAAGGTACTTTTAGCTGATTTATGTTTATTTTTTCTTCTTTGCATTTGGAAAAAATCTTGTCTTAAATATTTTATCTAAAAATCAAACACTTGCCTTTCTCAGTCCATTTTTATCATTCCAAATTCATGTGTCTAGATTTCAAAATAATCATTTCCAAAACATTAGAAGGAAAACAAAGAGTCATTAAAATAACATCAATTTAATAATGGTTCAGAGAATTATGTAGAAGAAATCTAGAAACTGGACGGCAGGTTAAAATAACTGACCCCTGAGGATCCTTTCCAAGGTCAAGATTTTATAAGTCTAAGTGAAGGTGACCATGTGCTCTAACAGAACCAAGCAAAACAAAACAATAATCTGATGTGTATGTTTAATTACCCATTGTGCATATGGAAGCTTTTTGAATGTGTAATTCTAATAAGATGGATAAAAGTACGTATGTATATGGCTGAGCCAATTTCTGTCAGCATTATCGAAGGCTATTTATTGCTATTAAAATTTATTTTTCACAGCTTGTAAGTTGAAAAACAATGGAGTCCACTGTAACAGCTCACTCATATTGAGTAAAAAGACAACTTTAAGTGATAATAGGAAGAAAACTTAAAATCTAGAAAATAAATAATAAAAAATTATATATATATATATATATGGCATAGAATATTCTTCTCTGTCTAACACAGAAGCTAAATATAGTCAGTAATAGTAGGGCTTTTAGCAGCTAAGAATCTGGTGATTTAACACTATACAAAGAAATCAGAGTTTACAACCAGACCCCTTATGATCTTTTAATTTGACATTCAGAAATTTGTGTATCCATCTTAGGTAATTATAAGCTTAAAATTACATGGCTGCAATATTATCAAGGGGAAAATTAATGTTTGATATATGTGTTAATTATATAGAATACTTATTTTTAAATAGACAATATTCCCATTGAACTTAAAATTAATGTTCCAACCTTTCAGTACTATATTTAGTGCCCCTGGAGTTTTAGAACTGAGATAATGTCTGCAAAAATGATACATGTAGTTATTTGCCAAGTGCTTTACTGAGTTGTTTATTTCATGGTAGGATTAATATCAATCTATTTTTCTTTCTTCCAGGGCGTGATTCTCAGTCACCAGACCCAGGTACAGAAAAGATGCTCCAAATAACTATTAAATTTGTCCTAAGGATATTTTGACACATGTGTAGCCACATTGTTGTTCTCACATTAAACTTAAATCATCTTCTTATATGTATAGTAAATGAAAATTCTAGTAAAAGCAGTTTGATTTTCAAAATAGAAATACATTTTGTTTTTTTTAAAAAAAAGTGTGAGTGAATGTAGATATTTTTGCATCCAATTTGTTTTCTCTTAATAAAAGCATGGAGATCTTACAGTGATCGAATACAAGAGACACTGAATGGGGATGCTACATATTCCTCTCTTGCAGCAAAAGGTTTCAGAAGTGTTCGACCAAACCTACAAGAAAAAAAATCTCCAACTCAGGTAATCCTGCATGCTCTTGTTTGTGCTTTGAAAATACTGTTACCAGATCGCTGCTTTGGCAACTTTCTTAAAAATCTCTTTTCCTATTGCTTTGTTTTTAATGTGTTTTGGCTTTTGTATTTACTTTGTTGTTAGACATGCATTTACAACATGAGAACAAATTTTAAGTTCAAAATAGGTATTTTATGAGCAGTGTTTTGTTTTGGTTTGTTTTACTCTGAATGACCTCAGAAAAGAAGGTCAGCTTCTAACATAATGTTTTGGATGTATTCTCATTCTTAAAAGCCTACTACCAGACCTTACTACCAGGCTGAGGAGATAACTCAGCCGTCTGAGCACCTGCCTGGCAAGTGCAAGGACCCAAGTTCCATCCTTGATACTGCATGCTGTACTGGCCCCAAAACCGGGCGTGGTGGTGCAAGCCTGTAATCCCAGCGCTGGGGCGGCTGAGACAGGAGAATCACTATGAGTCTGAACTGCATAGCCAGACCCTGTACCAAATAAATAAATAATTTAAAAATTTTTAAAAACAAAAATACTATGGTGTTTTGGATTTCGAAGTTATAGAGTCAGAAATGCACTATGTATTTAGTACATACAGTTATGCAACTGCTTATTATGTTAATTAAAGAGACTCTTTTGTAGATAGGAGTACACCTGTCATAAGCATGAAAAATGCTATAAAGCAATGTGGCTAAATAAACTACAGACCTCAATGTCTAAGCTAAGCCAAGAGATTTTGTTCACTTTTAATATAATTCTCAGGATGTAGATGAAGGAAAACTTTATAATCTATTCTTTAAAAGCAAAAAAAATCATTTTCCCCTCAGGGATATTCTTGATAGTAAATTAAAATGCATTCTAATGAGGATGAAAATAATTATTCAATCTAGCCAACAAAATGTGTAGCATAAGAAGATATAATGTAGCTTTACCTTTAAGAGCAGGGCAGATGCTATATCCTTTCATGACTAACTAGCTTTTTCTCTATTTTTCCTCCAACATTATTCCTTTTTCTGGATGTTCTCGGCCATGTAGGTGCCCCTTCCACCAGCTAGACAAGAGAACTTTCATAGCTACTTGATAACCAGTCACACACAGGGTGACCTTTTAGACTTAACATTAGGTACAAACACACAAACTCCCTCCTGTACAGAGCTTTATACTAACAGAAAGCTTCTTCCAGGAACTATGCATTCTAATGATGATTCTAACCCAACAATTATATATTCGGAAGAATCCAACACAACGGTGTCGTACACACGAAAAGTTACTAGCCCAATACCAGCAGCTTCCAGCATAAGTCCTACACCATTTGCTGACATCAGCACCCCATTTCTACAAGAGAACTACATGCAAGATTCCCAAACTCAGAGAATGTCTACCTCACAGCTAACGCATAACCAGGGTGTGGGAAGTACCATCCCGTTTCGTACTCCACAGTTTTCTAACCCTGTTGAAGTTCCTTCATTTCTCAAAAAGCCCTGCTCACCACCTCCTCTCCCAGTGCCCGAGGTACACACAGCATCTCTTTCCATTCAGATAGCTCCCCTTTCAGGACGAGATCCTGAAGGCCACAAACAGCTACCTGAGCTTTCTTCAGAAACTACAAAGATACCTCTTCAGCAAGAAAGACAAAGATCTGCAGTTGCTTCGGCCTCTCAGTCCTCAGACCTCCCGGTGATACATTACGCTTTCCAGTCTTTCCTTACATGTGTGTTGTAGAGAAGGAAGGGAAAGGAAAAAGAAACTGCCTTACAATTTAAAAGCTGACTAAAATAAAAAGTAAACCTCTGGGCATTTTTAAACATGCACACATACACACACACACACACACACACACACACACACACACACACATGCACGCGTGCACAAACACACACACACTCACACACAAACCTTTCACCAGAAATCATTTCTCCCTGACGGATATTTATTAAGAGTCACTGATGAATTGGTTGTCACTTGAGCCAGTGCTAGCCACTTTATGTACTTTTAGCTTTCAAAAAGCTATTTTTCATGCCAGATCTTTTGGTAGCTGGACTGAGTTTATGTAAATGCACAAAATCTCATAAAATAATTTTCGATTATTCTAGCAGGAAATATTTATCTCAATTTCAAGCAGTGTTAAACTTCTGTAATACAACATTAATTTTCACTGAAAATGATCAATTTGTCACTTAAAAAGATGTCAATCAGCCTCTCTTTACCCAGATTTTGAGGAAGTAAATACTTCTACTTATATAAAATTCCCTCAGTACAGTTGTCTCTGACATTCACTGTCTCTTTAGAAGCCTCTTCTTGGCTTCTTCACAAAATAATGTCAAGATGATTTTATTATATTTTAAAACAGAAGTTTTATTTTGTTTGGCTTTGTTTTGTTCTATGGGCTAGGAATTGGAGTCAGGGTTTTGTGTAAAAAAGAAAAATCCAGAAATTTGATAACTTTCCTTTTCATTTTCTGTGGTTTTGTCACTCTGCAGGCTAACCAGAGATGGCTTGGTTACACAATTTCCAGGATATGAGTGTGACGTGAAAGTTAGGAGTTAAGATCCTGCCACTTTTTTTCATTAAACAAATATTTATTTGGGCACCTATTAGGTGTCAAAGTTCTAGTTACAGAGCCAGACCTGAAGCCATCAATGCTTACAATCTTGTATGTATGGGGGAGGTTATATATCACTAGACACTCGAGCAGAATATGCAGACTAGGACAAGATTGTGGAAAACACAAACAAACAGAGATGCAGGGAGCACCTGACACATTGACAAGGAGAATAGTGACATAGACCTCAGTGAAGACAGGGCAGCTTTCAAAGTTGGAAGAATACTGCAAGCAGAGGGAACAGCTGGAATAAATAGCTTTCTGGCTAAAACATCCTGGATGGGTCAAGGACTGGCAAGGTCGCCAGAGGTGGAGAGGAAGTGCAGCACAGAACAGTGGCTGAAATCTGAAGGAGCAGAAGCCAAAAGACAGAAGTCCCTGTACATCACCACAGGACCTTGACGTTTTTACTCAATAAAAGTGAGAATCACTGGCAGACTGTGAGATAGCCATTATTTTATTTAATTTTATATAATTTTCAATTTTTATTTTTATTAGTACATGCCTGCAGCACATAATGATGGCATTCCTGGTGGGACATATCCATAACATATCTCAATCCTTTTATGCCTTGTGTTCCATTTTGAGAACAGCATATAACAATGAAACACATGAAAACTTTTCTATTCAAATCCTCATTCCTTTGATTTTTCTGGGTCGCATTATGAATTTCACACAAAACTTCAAGACCGTGTAAGCCTTGGCAGAAAGGCCTTGTTTTATCCTCTCGCTCTCCTCTTCTTCCCTTCTTTTCTCTATGTCTCTTGGGCACTGTCTCCAGTGCAAAGATCTAGATCCCTGCTTCTAAGTATCCATCTTTTATTTTGCTTTTTGTTTTACTTATATTTTGGGAGTCCTAAGCAAGAGAAGCCATGCAATGTTTAAGCTTTTTGTGCCACTCTTACGTGACTTATGTTCTAACCAAATTATTCTAGAAGCTCAGTTGAGAACTCTCTAGAGTGGGGCAAGGAAGAAGGCAGGCAACCCAGCTAGGAAATAATAGCGACTTAGGTCAGGAATGACTGTGGCTACAAGCAGGATTGAAATGATGGAGTTGGTGAGAAACCCAAGCGTGTGAATGCGTGTTGAAGGTCTAGCCAGCAAGACTTCCCGGTCAATCGCATGCGGGTTGTGAGCAGCAGAAGGAGGCCGACGCTAGTGGGATGGACTAGGCTGCTGTCTTCAGAGACCAAAAACCTGCAGGAGGGTCAGGTTGCGGAAACCTCAGTGGTACCATTGGTTCGTGGTGAGTTTAAGACGTCTCTTAGACATCCACAGGACAGGGGGAGGGTCCAGTTGGATGGAAGTTTCTTGTACTGGGGAAAGTCTAGGTTGGAGGCAAAACCATCAGTTTCAGTTTCTGGATGCTTTTGCAGCCATATGGTTGAGATCACCAGGAAGTGAGTATGCAGAAAAGAGGAAGCCTGAGAATTGAGCTCAAGCATGTCTTAACATGAAAGGAAGAAACAGCCAGAAAGTCTAAAAAGATCGTCCTCCAAGGTGGGAAGAAATCTCGGGAAATGCAGCCTGCTAAAAGCCAGAGGAGGAAAACCCAAGATGCTGGTGAGGTGGCCAGCTGGGCAGATGCTGCTGGACAGCAAGCACAAGCTGAGCGCTGATACTTCACCTTGACTTTGTAGAGTGCAGGGGAGCTTACTGGGAGCGGGACTGAGGCAGACCATGAACAGAACACCTGGACAAAAACTCTTTCAAGGTGTTATTAATGTGTTCGCCTTCATCTATCATTCACCCTCCCTGAACCTCAGTTTCCTCATTTATAAAATGGGACTGATGAAAATATTCATTGCAGAGTTACTATGAAGTTCAACTAAGGTAATGACCATAAGAAACTCTATGTTCTGTCCCCTTATTTTAGTTCACCTGTGACCCTGATCTATGGTAGGGACTGTGTGGCTGTCAAGATTGCTGGTTCAAAAGATTTTTATTAGGAGGCATCGGTGATCTTACATCACTTAAATACAAGCAGTACAGTAGCCAGGGCTTCAGTAAACTGGGAAATGTCTAGATAGCTTTTCTGCTTCTCAGTCTTAGGCGCTACATAATTCTGTGTCTCTGCTCTCTTAGTTTTGTACTTCTCCTTATTTCAAGTTCTCTGTGAACTTCTGTCACATACTGGTTTCTTCCAGTTGGACACCCAACACACAGCTACTTGACTGGGACATTCAGAGTTGCGTAACTGAAATTCACAGGAAGAGGGGAGGATTCATTTGGCCCAAGTGTTGTTCTGCTATTCCTGTCCAGTCTTCTGGGGCCATAAAACTATGGCAAAAAAATAAATAAATAAATAAATAAATAAAAAAATAAAACTATGGCAGCTGTTGGACCCCTCCTCCCGTCCTCTTAGGAAAGTCTGTCAGAAAGGAGGGAATTCATGATAGAACTGAAGATGGGAGTAAAAGTCTGATTTTTATATAAACCCACTCTAGACTTTTTTCAAGTAAAAAAATTATTCTTCCCTCCTTTTTTCATTTTTTTGTTTTGTTTGTTTTTTATTTGCTTTTCTTCTCACAGTTCTCCTGAAGAATCAGGCAGCAGACAGCTCCCTGTCTTCTAGTGTCTAGAGGGCTTTCATTCATGTGGAGATGAGAGCCAATGAAAAGGATTCCAAGCCTGTAGTCAAAAAAGTAGTTGATGCCTTGTGTACAATAGTTCATAGCACCTGTGGCTGAACAACCACTGAATTTTATAGTTATACGTATAACATTTAAACATGTTGTGATTGGCCAAGGGGTACTGCACATGTTACACAGACACCCAAAACTTAAAATTGTGTGCATGTCTGAAGGCACTGAGAGAAATGTGGGTTTCTCTTTGGAAGAACGAATGAGTAGATGCAGACCATTCTCAGACATCCTGTTGTAAAACCAAGCTCATGACCATATTGCCAATGACCGTGGTGATTTTAACACATTCCAAGTCAAAGGTTATGAACCAATAAGTAAAACAAAATTCATTACATTTGTCCTTTTAATTTTATTTTTATTCATTTTTTTTTTCAGAACTGGGGATTGAGCTCAGGCCCTTGTGCTTGCCAGGGAAGTGCTCATTCTCCTAAGCCATCTCTCCAGCCCTGTCCTTGTAATTTTAAAGGTTAAAAAAATCACACTTGAACAGATAATTCCAATCCTTTATTATGATTAAGATCATTTATCAGAATTTTCACAGCATAAGTAAAACTCAAGAAGGTCCATTTGATGTAGCAACTATCAGTGACACACCATTATGATGAGACATTCCAATAACACTATCCCAAGACTGTTTATGCCTGAATTCCACTCAGGCTTGAAAGAAAATTTTAATGTACTAAGCTATAATTATTGTACTTTTATAGTATTATAGCTTTACCTCTCACAAAACCTGCAATTATTATATTTACTAATATAAAGAATGTGTTGCTATTAAAACATTTTATATCTGGGTAACCAATATTTCTGTCAGTTAATTCTGTAGATTTTAAAACTACAAACAATAGAAGAAAATGACTGACACTTAAAATGACCATGATTAAACAACAACATAAAAATGCTAATGAAATAAAAACAGAACAGGAAATCTGTCTTTTTATCTGGTTTTGGTGTTCTTAACCTTAGATCAAGGATGCACTTTAGGCTGTCTGAAAAATCCTGAAGTTTATACATAATTTTATGCATATGAATTTATGCTTTTTTTCCTAAGAAAAAAAATCAATAACTTTCAACATATTTCTAAAAGATCTATGGCCCACTGAGATCTCTTTTTTATGGCTTTTTTAAGTACTCGAAAGTCTGGGTAAAAAAAAAAAAAAAAAAAAAAATTAATGACGACTTTCATGAGACCAACAGTTTGCATGACATCAGCTGTTATAAAAATTGTCCCGGCCAGGAACACCAAATGGCACCACTTAAATCTTTACTAGGCAATATTTCTAAGTGTACACATTTCTCATTAACTTATTCTCCATTTTCGTGTTAATATCTCACAATATTTCTAGGCACTTTAACTGAAACTACCTCAAACACCACAAACTCTGTTCTACAATGTAGACAGAATAAAGAGGCAAAATGCTCCAGTTTCATTCATTCACTTACTCATCCATTTATGCAAGTACTCCTTCCTTCATTCATTCAGTTAAGTCTGAGGCTCATCCTCAGAGCTGACATTTGTGATCACATGCCCTGGAGGTTATAGCAGATGACTGCAAAAATGTTAACAAGCTTTAGACAATCTCTCCAGCATGGTCAGTCTCTTGGGTTATATACAACTGTGGGGCCAGGGTGGGAACATTTTAAAACCTTTTGTTTTTCTTGCAGTTTCTTTCTCCTTTACCTAAAATATAATGCCAACAGAAGTTCTAACCAACTAGAGTTCTTTCTAACCATTACCGCTTGCTGGTTTTTACTTTCACACATAGGTACCTCCATTTACATTGCTAAGACATATTAAATTTCTTTTCTTTTAGTATTTTGTAATGAGATCAAAAAACAGATTCAATGAGCAGAAAAGAGTGAAAATAATTCTCTTTCCACTTAGTTGTTTTTCATTTTATCAACATGACTTATGGGGGGGAGAAGCAAACTGATTTATAATTTGAAGACATTTTGATGGTGTGGAGGGGACAAGGAGAATGATGCTACAAGATGGCTTTTGTAGTCATTAAACCAACAGACAATCTGATAGCTTTTCACTGTCACCAGGTCAAGAACTAAAACCTCTAAAGGAGGAATTCCATTATGCCAACGCTTTCGGCTCCCTACCCAAACTTACATTGCAGTGCCGTGTGAAAGCTGACCTTGTCCCCAAAAAACACTGACTGGATGCATTTTCTTCATGTTTTCATGTTTTTCTGTGCTGTGTGATTGCTACCTAATCCATGAATGTGTTTCCTTGAAGTGCTTGCAAGTAAAACCCATGCTTTGCCTTGACTGCCTATTGCAAACAAAGAAATGTTTTTATTACCTGGATAATTTATATCTTTTCTTATTATTTTTCCTCAATCTCAGAGTGGAAATCAGCATTTAACTGCCAATGTGTTGGAGGTAAATGCATCACAGACACACAGCCAAACCACACCAGAAGCCTCTTCTTCGTGCCCTTCTCCTGTGATTCCATTTAACCAAACCACTTTCTCACCAGGCAGTGCCTCCAGCCCAGCACCAGCACTTGGTGATCTGGGACCTCCTTGCCCGTATAAGCCTCAGAGCTTTGCACACTGTCTCTATAAATACCCCACCCCAGCTCCTGAAGGCCTCGTCCACAGCCACGACACAGGTTCTCTCAGGACAGACTCCTCCCACTCCGAGAGTGAGTCCTCCACAGCCATTCTGGCTGAGCTGCAGATGGGTAACTCTGACACCACTGACTGCTCTGAGACACCTTCCCCAACCTGGGGTCAGAGGTCTGCTGTGACAGATGGCACCATCCTAACCACCCCTGCTGCCACTCATGTAATTATGTTTCATTCCTTTGCCTCTGCCACTTTCTGAAAAGGATTAGTTTCTTCTCTGTCATCTTCTTTTGCAGCAGAGCACTTGTGTTTGCATAGGTGTTGATGAGTAAATGGACTCTATACCATCTGTCAGGGAAATCTAGCTCAGCCATTCTTATTAATCCTGCTTTGCACTAAAAATGTACTTACACTCTCTCCATTCATGTTACAGTTACTTATGGTTATTCCAGAAGGGATTAATGTGTTGTTATGGTTAGTGTGCCATACAGTGATTTGCCTTAATAATAAGTTATCTCATAAATTTAGATAAGTATATATCATACTATTGCTATGGTTATATTACAGAAAAAGTATAAATGTTTCAAAAATTTTAACCTCATGTTAATAACTTATACATAGCAGCATTCCTCACAGGCTGGTGTGCCGTGTCTCCTGCCTAAGTGACTACTGATGCATCGTGCTCAATTCTCCTTGCTCTTTCTGAACTAACTGCTGTGTCTTTTGAAGTCCTCTGTCACATGAGAGTGAAGGATGCAAAGAAGCTTAATCTATATTACAGAAATGTAGCCTCATGACTTTTCTGCACTTATTCTTCCTGAGCTCTTCCACTCTAGACGTTTATTAGCTGTTATTTTATATCTCAATAATATGTCATTCACTTGTGAAAATATGTAAAAATTTTCAGGCACATCACATTATTTGGGTGTGTCTAGACCTTAAGCATTCCCTAGGAAATGATTTATGAATAGCTAAAATACTTTAAAACATTATGGCACAAATTTTCAGTTGCATGTAATGTAGTAGTGGCATCCATTGAAAGGCCAATAATTTGGGGTAGGAACAGAAATTACTTTTCTGAAATCGGTGTTATGATAAAGTTCCAGAAAGGACTGCCATAGATAACATTTTATTTGTGCTATACAGTTTCTGTATTCTATCAAAGAAAATTTTCATTCATACAGTAATGTTACAATAAGCCAATATTTTTAACTATATGGCAACAAAAGGAAGTAAAAGATACTTTTTGTGATTGGCTTAATGTTCATCCAGGGGCTGGGTATAAAATGTTTTCCATAGCTAACAGCACTGAAATCCCTCTGTCTGCCATGGAGGACAGACAGTCCCCAGTGCCAAGTACTCATAGGTCCCTGCTGTGTCCTACTATGCTTTAAACGGTTATTACCTTTTAAATAAAGAATGCTATCAGGAACTTCAGCAAAAAAAGAACATACAAAGCAGTAAAAATATATTAATATTTGTACTAACCTTTTCAATTTTCTCTTTAGGATGTCTTAGGAATATTCATTGGGATTCACTTTGGGATGTTCAGTTATGTGTATAGTTTTGTGCATACTAATCAGAGGTTCTTATAATAAATTCATTCTAGTTATCAGTTTATGGATCCTCTATAAGATAGTAATTCATCATAAACTGCTTCCTAAAATGCTAATGGCATTATTTAGTTAGTAAAATCCTAATTAGTTTTACAAATACAATACTTTTAGTGTTTTTATGACTCCCTAATTAGTACTGAAACCATCAAGATGGAATTCAGAGTCAATTTCCTAAGTTTATTATCCCTAGCTCAAAACTTAAAAATCCAAAATACTTCAGATAATGAAATTTGTTGAGCAATGAAAAGACTTTGTAAATGGAAAATTCCACCCCCGACCTCATATGATGAGTTGCAATAGAAATGCAGGTGCATGAAATTTTCTTCAGGTTATGGGTATAGGGTGTATATAAAATATAAAAGAATTTCATATTTAGCCTTGAGTTTCATTCCCAAGACATATCATTATATATGCATACATACATACCCCCTTTATACCTGTTTATATATAAATATTCCAAAATTCAAGAAATCTGAAATATTGTAACCTGCCGATCTTTAATTAAATGATTCTACTTTTTTTTAGATACATTTGATACAGGGTCTCACTATGCAGCTCAGACTCATAGTGATCCTTCTGTTTTTAGTCTCCCCAGCACTGGGATTACAGGCGTGTGCCACCGTGCCAGGTCTCCGTGGCCAGCTCAGCATGCCCAGGGGCAGGGCTGGTGTGGCACATTGTGCTGGGGATGGAACCCTGGCCCCAGAGCTTGCCTAAGTAGACTCTTAGTCTGCTAAGCTATTACAGAGGCCTAATACTTCTACATTTAACATTAATTATAATAACAACATTAAAATTATATTTATAAAGATCCACTAAACTTGACTTAAACAAAGAGATGTGCATACTCATCAGAGGTTCTTATAACTAATTCATTCTAGTTATCAGCTTATTACACATGGATCCTCTATAAGAGAGTAATTCATCATAAACTGTTTCCTAAAATGCTAATGGTATTATTTAGCTAGTAAATTCTAATTGGTTTTACAAATACAATACTTTTAGTGTTTTTATGACTCCCTAATCAGTACTGAAACCATCAAGATGGAATTGTGGTTCTCAAATTGAGCCAGGTGTGGTGGCACACACCTGTAATTCCAGCACTTGGTAGACTGAGGCAGGAGGTCTGCTGCTAGTTCAAGGCCAGCCTGGGTTACAAAGTGAGTTCAAGTCCAGGCTAACATACATAGTAAAACCTTGTCTCAAAAAAATACATATTCCCAAATCATTCATTGGAGGTACACAAAGACTCTGAAGCATTTGATCAGGCCTGTGCCTCACAGTCATTTTGTCCAGTTCTCCTCAAGTAGAAGATTCCCCAAAATATAGTTAGCTGTACTATAAGAGCAGTTTTTCTAAGAGCTTAAAAAAGTACTTCATAAATGCAATCCTTGTAAATACATGTGTATTGATTTTGGAACATATTTCTATAAAGAAATCATATTTATTTTATTTCATTTGAAAGCATACATTTTATTGAGGCTTCTTTTTTGGGAGGGTACCAGGGATCAAACTCAGGACCTTGTGCTCGCCATGCAGGTGCTTAAGCCTCTGAGCTATCTCTCCAGCCCCTACCTAACTCATTTCAAAGTCAAAGCATGAAACTATGCAATTACTTGTCTGTTTTAAGCTTATTTAATAGAACTTTATTTCATTTCAAAATAGAACAAGTTCACACATGATGGGTCTTTATGTACACATGTTCTAAGAGAATTTTAACTAAATATTCTTAACTAAGGCTTATGTCCTTTGCGTGCATTTCTGTAATAGCCATAATACTTACTGTGGTGCTGTAGCTAGGTAGCAGGAAGCGCCACTTCTGTGAATAAGTGGTTCAAATCCGATTAGACATGTGAATATAAATATCTACCATGAGTACCTACTGTATCATTATAGTAACACCAGATTGCATGTTTTAACAAGTATTTTAAAAAGCATATACTTTCCTCCAAGAGGAAACTTGAAGTAGCGCTGATGATGTAAAACACTGATATATAAAATAGAAAGTATTAAGAAACCAGAGTACTAAATGAGGTTGAAGTAAGAACTCAGTGCTGTCAAGTCTTTCTGATGATGCTTTATTAGCTAAGTGTGACTCTTCTAAAACAAATTGCTCTGTGATATGCAAGTCCGGTGAATTGTGTTCCTTAGGTTAGTCGCCTTGCTTGGGAAGCATTCATTCACTGGAAAGCGGCCATGACTTAGTCTGAGAACTAACCCCTTTCCTCATGTTAGAGAGCATTCCTGCATGTCAAGTAGTGTGACAGAGCTCTGGCTACTTAAGTCATGATTGCAAGAGTACATGTCCCCTCCGCAGTGATTTGGCAGTGACTTGTGTTGATACCTAGGGCACTTCTGTTGGAAGAGTGGAGCACCTGTAACCACCACTGCTGTCCTTCCTAACATCCTCCCTGCCATCAGATGTATGAAAAAATTATTTTCAGAGAGAGAGAGAGAGAGAGAGAGAGAGAGAGAGAGAGAGAGAGAGAGAGAACACTGACATCAGGTTTTAAAATAAATAAAACCTTGGCAGTTGATTGCTGTCAGGTGATGAGAGGACTTTTATTGTCACCAAAATGAGTGATGTTGACAGGGGACTGTGTGCTATAATGGGATGCCTCTGCACTTTCCTCAGAGCCAGATAACAGTGAATGGCAACTCTGGCGGTGCTGTGAGCCCAATGAGTTACTACCAAAGGCCGTTTTCCCCTTCCACATACTCTCTCCCAGGATCTCTCAACTCCAGCCTTATCATGCAGCATGGCAGATCCCTTGGTAAGTAGTTTGGTCACCATGATCCACAACAATCTCCATATGTCAAACACAAACCACATGAGAGAAATAGAAGATGTCAAAGTGACACAGGAATGCTCAACGCCCCACTTTAACCCTTTCTAGGGAGGAACTGGGGCAGAGGATTTGACATGGTAGAAGGGAAGCACCCAGCTATGCAGGGACAATTACTCCATCTGTGTCTGAGCCTAGAGGTGTCTCTTTGAGGTGCAGGGTGAAAAGGAAAATATGATACCCAGTTAGAGAGAGGAGAGCCTAGCCTACCCGGAGAATATTAATGGAATGCTTTTCCATTAAGGTAGCTTATTCCTATAGACCATTCTTTAGTTCTACATAAAGGAAGAATTACTTTAACAGTTATCTTTAACAGAATAACCAGGCGCAAACTACCTCACACAGTGGTAAAGCAGTGAAGTGTCATCCTGCCTCATGGAGTCATAAACTACTATTTGAACTGGGCCCTAGAAGCAATCAGTCATGGAAATCAGGTAGAAATTTAAGCAATCCCTTAAGTGATGATTCTATAATTTTGTAGAGATATGTTTTCACCCTTCAGGTATTAAGAACTAAATGAAAGATACAGCTCTCCAGGGGAAAGATGAACATATGAACTTAATTTTTAAAACATTAAGCATATAATTTTGTGAGTCATGAACACTTTGAAGCCTCCTGGGGGGGAGGGATGCTGTGTATATAAAGAACATTCTTATGTGGTAAATATATTGGCAAATTTTAGAAAATAAGGTAATAAATACTACCAAGTTTTTAAAAATGCAATTTTAGGCCAGGGATATAGCTCAGTGGCACAAGTGTTTCCAAGGCAAACATAAGGTCCTGAGTTCAATTCCCTGTACCAAAAATAAATAAATAAACATGCAATTTTAGAAACCCAAAAGGATTTTGAGAACATCCCTAACTGAACCAACATACAAATTGGGAATGAAAAATTTTCCATGACATGAAGCAACTAGAAAGCTTCTAGAAGCAGAGAGGAAAACAAGGACAGCAAGTCTTCCTGTGCTTCTCAGGCAAGAAGACCCATCCTCTGGCCATCACAAATGTTCAACAGACAGAAGAAAGCAACTAGAATATATAGGGTCACCCTTCTCCCTTGCCAACATAATTCTGTATTGAAAGAATATGATCCCCTCATTTGCTAAGGAACGTTTTATGTCAACATCCACCATGTGTTCAGTAGAACTCAGTTTCTAAGGTCACAATAGCCTGTGTCAGACTTTAAACATAATCAAGGGACTCATTAAGGAAAAATCTAAATATACTTGTGCCTCCTCTAGTATTACTCTTGGGAATAATCTATGGGTCTTATAATGATATAATTTTGTATATAAGAAAGTAGAACTTTCTTGTGCCAAAAATTTTCCCTCTAAGAATCAATCTACAGTTTGGTATTACAATACCACTATATGTAGATTTTTTTGTAGTGGAAGTATGAATTATCACATAGTTTTATAAAATAAAACTATGAATTAGTCTCATTGTAACACTTTCCCAAGTAATCATCAAAGTGTGATGCTTTATCTCAAGTCCTTTCTAGAGTTCAATCAGAATCAAATATTTTATTGTCTCTTAATCTGAAATAGCTTGAAAAAGGCATGACTACCTTCAGTGATACACAAGCAGTTTTATTCCTACCTGCATCTATTTTCAAAAACGTATTGAGAATAATTTCTGATATGAAATAAATTTAAAATGACCAAAATAACAGACGTAGCAATTCTACATATTTTAATGGATTTTACCTTAGACAGAATTTAACTCTAATTATCCTCACAAAGATAAGTTAAAATTTTTAAATGTTTCCTTATAATGTCTTATTCAAATTTTCCAAGAACAATGCAGTTTATATGTAATATAATGTTCATATACATGAGTGTATATCCTACACACATATGTAGTGATAATAATAAATCCTACCTTGAAACATAGAGATTTCCCCATTTCCATACAAAGAACTTTCTGAGTGACAGACCTACCAAAACACAGCATAAATAATATAAACAGAGCCAGGGAGATAGCTCAATAGAAGAAGCGCTTGCCTGGCAAGCACAGGGTCCTGAGTTCAATCCCCGGTACCACAAAAAAAA